CTTTTAATAAGTCACAAATTAAGTGTCTTCCCGTCTTTCTCTCCCACCTTTCTCTTGCTAAGGACAGATTCAAGTCAGAAGTCTTTGAATCAGGTTGAATTTGGCTCGGATGTGCTTTTCTTGAAACCTAAACTAAAACCTAAACCTAAACACACAGAAAGACCTTCCATTACTTGTCCTTCATGTTCATAAAGGCTCAAGGAATTCACGGAGAATCCACTTCTGTTTTAGTTCCTGGCCCAGACTCACAACTCTAAGTCATTACACCCTCTGTACCTACCTTTTACAAATGTTATATTCCCAAATAAAATCTGAATGAAAATTTCCTTGTCTCCAGATAATAATTATACTAAGAAGTATTATCTTCTAGTGTTTCCTAAACATTTATAAACTTGTGTTTCCAAATGTCTAAGCTGCAATAATTAGTGTCTGTCTGTTGATAATTTCACATGTGGTCAATTCTACCCTTTTTAGACTATAAACTACCTGATAACCTCCTTCAAAAATCTTACAGATTGTATGCAGCTAATGTTCATGTGTAATTCAATGTTTGTTGCAATGATGCTTCGCTTAAACTACACATAGTTATCTATGCACCTACCAGGAGGTACGGTTTGGAATGGAAGGACATTCTTCTAGGACATTCACACTATGTTAAGTGAAAGCCAACAGAATCCAAGAACTAGTCCAGTGATGAAGGGGTACAAGGCTTTACACCAGATATTTTATCCAGGTTTTAGTATATATTATTATGACCTAATCACATAGAGCTGGAATGCCCACGTGAATTAAAGTCCCAGCATGGACTTCTAGGTTACCAAGACAGATTTAAGAAAAATAAATTTGTACATAAAAGGAAAACATCACATTTTTGTTCCTGTATATAATAGTAGTAATAGTCACAAAAATTGAAATCCTCAAGGATTTTTAGGAGTTTTTTGAGATGTTAATTTGTGTCAGATCTGCTTGAGGCAAACAAAAGGTGAGTAAATGAACTGGTGGGGAGAGGATTCATGGTGACAAGTGTCCGCTAGAAGAAGGACCTGACAGTATCAGATGACTCTTAATCAGCAAGGGAGAAATGCTGGAAACATCAGGTTATCAGCTGCAGGAGTTTTGAAAATAGGCTGAATTGTGTGCACTTCTACCTCTGAACTTAACTCCTAGTTCATCTCATTAGAATACTTACCGCAGTTAAACAGTCTAGAGCTTGAATAAGGGAAGAGTGGTGTTAGCATTGGCATCTTTCATGTGTTGGTCTAAAGAATTTTTCAAGACACTACTATTCCTTGCTAGATGGTAAAATAGAAGAATTCATAATAGAATTCCCTGTGGAATAGATTGCAACAAGACAATAAAGGGAAGATAACAAAAACGGACAGGAACTATAATAATAGGTACCCTCAAGTAGAAGTTAGTATATGTAATTTTGTGAGGAATGCTTAACTTGTGTATCTATGGCTTAAAAAGGATTTTCCTCTGATACCATGAAATTTAAATTGTTTGTATGTCAAATGGAAAAAAATGTTTTTAAAAAAGAAAAAAATATTTAAAAGAAAAACAAAAAAAAGAGTTGATTACATATTAAATATAAGTACGTGTTAAGAGAGATGTGGCACCAAAATGACATTTCACTATTCAAGAAGTCACCTTAATTTAAGGTGGATATTTGCAGAATGGAAACGTCATCGTTAAAGCCGCTGCTTGTCTGCCTACCTGGACAAACACAAAGGTCCTAAGAAAAGAAATAAATCCAACCCTAAAGAAGACTTGTTAAAGCTACAAACTCAAAATCCACGTTAATGAACTTTCTCAAAGCTTCGAATTTAATCACCTGAAATTGTCACTTTTAAAAGTTGGTTTGCAGAACCTTTTGGAATGATTGATTTGACTTTTGCCCAGCAATCTCTGTTTCATCAGAAGAATGGAATAAAATGTCCTTGGCGGAGATAGTCTTCTTAGAAGTGGCTATTTTAGTACTCTGTGCTTAGCATATTTAAAGACATTCATTTCAAGTGAGCATCCAGAGTGGATTTGAATTTCATTGGTACATAGTAGGGGTCTATTGCTTCAATATCTTTCTGCCTCTTTAGTCTCACAGCATTCAAAAGCAGTCTAAGAACAGTTTCTGGAGCCTCTACTGAAAAAACTTTTTGTGTACCTTTTCTCTCTTGTCTGCTAAACTGACAGTTGTCGTGGAGAGGTCAGTACAAAGAATGGCAGCTTGAAAACCATGTGAAAGAAAGTAACTACTAAACTCTAATTTAAAAAACAAAAGAGAATGTATCTCAGGGGTTGTTTCAAAGTAAAATAAAGAAATAACAATATAAAACAATATGAACAATGAACAGACATCCTGTCCTGTGATTTTTTTTAAAGTCATCAAAATTGTTACAGAAATTAAGGTACACTAGTGTAGCCACTTGTAATGTGAACTGTACTAGACATGTTCCTGATTTAAAAAAAAAAAAAAAATAGGGGTAAATTGACCACATAGTGGCTGGTTTGAAAAGGTGGGGTAAAATAAAAGTCACTAGAGGTCACAGATTTTCTACGATCCAAATTCACATATTGGGACCAGCAGTCTCTCTTGCTGAATAGTGCCCAGATGGCAGAGACAGCCCTGGTATGTGGTCTTCACAGCTTCTTCACAGGAAGCTGTCACCAGTAGGTGACCCTGTCAGTCTGAAGGCAGTAAACTTGCTATGTGAGCCAAGGAAGTACACCACCGTCCCTGAGAAACAGAGGGCAGAGCCTCAGGAAAAAATAAATTTACAGTTGGTGCTGACTCAAAGGAGCTCATACAACATTTTTTTTTTTTTTGGAGTTTGAAGAATATAAAAGCAATTTGATTTTCACAGGTAAAATGTGTTATAAAAGGAGAAACCAATTCCCATTAAAAAGAAGAAAGATAGTGTATCTAAGTGAGGATGCTCTGTGAGCAAGATGTAGCCTAGAATTAATTCCAGTGTGGAGTCACCGTCCTTGACATGCAACAGTAATCAAAAGACAGAAAAGGAACAAAACAACCCAAGCTAATATCCGGGTAAAATCATGGTAGGCATCTCCTAAAAATAAACTAGCAAACCAATACATTTTCAAAGCATGATTTTTTGTCTTGTCAGGGGGAAAAAAAAACATGATTAGCAGTTATTTTAGTGACATAATGCTTTTGAAAACCATATTTAAAAGAGAAGGGTCTCCTATTGTCTTCCTCCTCCAAATGAAACATAATAAAATGTGAGAAATAAAGCTACCATTAAAATGACGAATTATATCTCTCTCCTGAAGAAAGAAATCATACTTCTGATAATGGTGACCAATTACTAAGGTCAATAGAGGAAAAATGTTAAATATTCAAATAAATTACATTCCATCTAGGTTTTGCGTTTCCTTGTTCATTATCTCTCCAGGTCTGATAGTCCACATGTTTTAACTTGTGCTTTCAGAAGGGGGTACCTAGGCACTAGAAGAATCTGTCATAGTAGAATGTAGTAAATTAGCATTTAAACCTTAAAATGTAAAGAATTAACTGCCAAATTTAAAAGTATAGTTTAAAGAACAATGGGTCTGTGTTCAGAAGAGGTAAAATGACATCACTGAAAGCCAAGGTTTGGGAGCAAGAGTCAGGAAACAGGGAAGTTTCTGTTTCTTTTTTTCCACCAGTCAAGTCTGAAATTCTGTTTAAATCTACATTACTTTGGTATGTTTGGTAAACTCTGCTTCCTTTATTGATACATCTGTTCACATCAACTAAAGCCAGCAACTACTAAGGTGACTGAATATTGAGCATTTTCAGATGAAACCAAGTCTATATCTTTTCTTTCAGTGAAAGAAAATTTTGATTTTAAAATATGACTTCAATGCTTTTCAGTCATTTGTACATGTCAGATAAATACTTGTGAATTGTTGTCTTGGAAGTTAATTTATAGCCAGGTGCTCTGTTTCCTTATAAGCCCTCTAGGGGAAGTTAGAATCAATGATCTTAAAAATTCTCATTTTAGCTGAAACTTCATCTAAGCTTCAGTGACTATAGTAAAGAAGATCTTTTATGTAAGAAGTCTCCAAGAATTCACATCTATAATATTCTGAAAAAAAAAAAAACCAAAACTTTAACCTCAGGTCAGAATACTTCATTTTTCAAAAGCCATTTTAAATCTGATATCTGCTGTCCTTCCGTTGGTGATTTATCCCTGGTCTCTCTTTAAATTCCGAAGAGCAAGGTCATGATGTTGAAGACTATAAAGCCAAACTCAACTCCAAGTTATGATCAGCACCATTTCTCATAAAAATAAAGTAATTTTTTAGTGGGAGAGTGCATGATTTGGGCACAAGAAATAAGATAAAATAAACAAATATTTAAAATATTTACTTTTGTATGTAAGGTATTCCAGAATTTCAAGTGTGTCTTTCTGATAGGCTGAGGAAGATGAATGAATACTCCATTCCCAGGGAAGTTTTGTGTGTGAGAGTAGGCACACCACCAAAGGACAACGGAGCATACCTTCAGATGTTTAAGACACGAGAAAACTCACAAGCTCACATATCAAATCCACAGGAGAAGACAGGGAGTGGGGTGTGCATAGGTGTGAATTATTCACGTTGATTAGCTCATTAAGCTTGGGAAACCATGGGCCACTCATTGATAGGAAATCCAGTACCTTAACCTTGAACCAGTAAGCCTACCAAATGCAAACACAAACTCTGAGGGTAAGCCACCTTACGATCTGTAAGTCAAATCTATAGCTGGACACCTTTGCATGCTGTTTTCATATCTTTTCTACTCCCCAAAACACCCTAGAATACCGTTTTACTGCACTGTAATTACCAAGAAAGGAAGATAAAAAGGCAATGCCTAGGTGGGCGTGCACTGAGAAGGGTAAAGTCAGCTTCCCGCTGTGCTAGAAATAAACAGAGATCACGTACACTACGGTTCTGGGCAAGAACCATATAATTCCTTGACTATCTTGGTAGTTTTCTTTCCCAAATATAGTGCCTACCTTCCGTGTGGACTGCGGAGACATAGGTCCAATTGTAACGCTTGACTATGTCAAGCATCGCCCTTGCCTGCAAAGTGTCAGAAGGGACCACCCTTAGGAAGTATTTGTACAAAGTTTTGTCGCTCAGGTCTATGCTTGTGGCAGAATAGGCGATCTGTGGGATATCGAACAGCTGGAGAAGATTCTGGACTTGAATGGCCACAGAGCTGGAGCCAGGGCCGATCACTCCAGCAATAGGTTTCTTAGTCCTGCCTGGGGGGAGGGTCTGGCCATCTGGCAGGCAGCGGTTCAACCCATCCTTCTCATCTCGGATGGAAATCAGAGAGTCTCTGATGAACTCGATGCTCTGTTCCAGGGCCACGGAGGAGTGCCAGCAGGAGTCTCGGATCTCACTGCCCAGGGTGATGTTGGGCAGGAGCACCGGGTCCGCATTGATCTTATCCAACGTGTGGAACATGGCCTCCACCCTCTGGATACCATACTGTTCTCTAATCTCCCCACACTTCCTTTCGGGTACCTTCTCTGCTGGAGGTTGGTGATGGACCGAGAAGAGGGCTCCAATGATGACATCTCCGTCCATCCTGGCCACGGAGCGCTGAGACGAGGCACTCACCAGCAATACTTTTCTGTCGGGAATTCTGGGCAAAATGGACATCTCCAAATAGATCATTGGGAAGAAAACCAAGAGGAGCCGGATCATTGTGGCGAAGACGCGGTACACCGCGGGCCAGCCGAGTTCCCACGCCTGTCCTTCCTGCAGGTTCCCAGTGCGAACCACCCAGACGTCCGCCGCTGCCTTTGTAAGCTTCGTGCCTTTGGCCAACACAGCTGTTTCAACGCTTTCTCAGCCTCCACCACCGCCTCTCTCCCCTCGGCTTCCTCCTGCTGGTCCTCCGCGACCGCTCCCACACCCTGGGGGCGTGCTTAGAGGAAATCAAGTTGCGGTTTTTCACTGGTGCCCGAAGGTGTGTAGATCAGGTGTGCAATGCGCGGCGTGTTAGTAGTGACCGCGAGCTGTGCTCTGATCACTGAAAGAAGAGAGGCAATGCCAGGTCATCGGAGGAATTGTGTTTAAACTCTGGGGTCTGTGATGCTAACTATTGTCCCGTCCACTTCACCCCAACACATCCTTCAGAAATAGCTAGGGAGTCAGCTCTGGTCGGTGATGGAAGTGCTGTGCCCTGCTCGCTCGCAACCGGGGTCCTGAAAGCTGCAGAGCCCTGCTGACCCGCCCCCTCCTCTCGCCTTAGGTCCCTTCACTGTTCCTCCTAACCGACCGAGCTTTCTCAGGTGAAGGGGGGCGGCAAGGGGAGGGAGAGGGGAAAGAGGGAGGAGCTAAATCCTTCAACCTAAGAACTTTCCCGGATTTGAAAAGATCAACTTTTTCCCAGAAGAAAATTTGGGAACTCTTCGCAAGGTAGAAGCGCTGTTTAAAAGAGAAACAACGCAAACAATGGAAGCTCCTTTTACTTTAACACTTAAGGGTTGAAGAGACCCTGACATACAATTTTAGTAGTAAATGTAAATGCGACAGCTTGTGAAAAAGCCATATTAGTTACTAAGGCAACGCCTGGTAGTCTCCCTGTCTTGGGGTTTGTTATGTTGCACCCCCTAAGACATGAGGCTTACGGTAGAAGGAGCGCAATAGATAACTTGTTTTTTGAGATAGGTTTGGACAGGAGGTGGGTATCTTGCATCCGCCTATGTACCGGAGCTTTTGGGGCTTTGCATCGCTGTAAGAAAAGGAAGAAAGAGCTGGGCATGAGGGGGTCGCCTTTGGCACAGCACCCTGAGCCACAATGCGGTCAGAACCCTGGACAGCGCTCGGAGCTAAGCGAAAACACCTTTCCTTGTCTGCAAAGATGCTATAATGACCGGCGCACTGAAAATCCTTGACCTCCCTTCGCTCTTCCATCGCCTTCTTCATACACACACACACACACACACACACACACACACACACACACACACACATCTCCCTAGTATCTCTCCACCCTCATTCTCTTCGCTTGCCTGTTCTGCCTGTTCTGCAGGACTTCAATCCAACTGCTTTGGGTACGGTAGAGGCACCTGCGGGGCTGAAGTTGGCTCCCTCTCTTGTCCCTCCCCTTTCTCAAGGTGAGAGTCAAGATGAAAAGGGGGCTGCGGGAGCAGGCTGGGAATGAAAAGACCGGAGGCAAGGCACAAAAGAGGGAGGAATCTAGCCCGACTCCCACCGCTCCCCACCGCTTCTCAAACAGGCACGACTGAAAGAGATAAATAAACGAAGATCCTCCTGGATCCAGAAAAAAATCCGATAGATAGAACAGTACCTTCCTCTGGGGTGGGCTTCACCGCGGGAAGATATCCGCTCACCTGAGCCAGTTTGGGGTGTGTACTCAAGACCTACCTGAGTCCGGGTAGACAGAGCTATTGGTCCCCAGGTCAGAGGACTGCAGCCGCCCTCGGTTCGCAGACACCTCAGCTCTAATCCAGACGGTGCGAGGATGCGATCTGGGCTGTACACTAGTGCCCTCTTTCTTCGGCACTATTTTACCGCAAGGGAAATAAAAATGGGGGAGGGAAGCAAACTCAAAAAAAAAAAAAAAAGAAAGAAAGAAAAGAAAAGAAAAAAAAAGCAGGTCACCCAAGGTTTGTCTAATATCTAATGTATAAAAACTAGACATTTGATAGAGGAGGAGGAGAAGCCAAAGAAATGCAGAAACTGTCAATTTCTCCACTGCTGTGCTGTCTATCTATCTGACAGACTTTAAAGATGTTATCAGACACATGGGGAGTCAGTAATTTCTGGCCAGAGGAGTGAGGAGCTCCTGGTCTCCTTTGGGGTGATTATCTTTCTTTGCATTTAACCCAAGGACTCACATATATTTTTTCCCTCTGGAAATGAGGTCCACACTCACAAAAGCAATGTGTGCAATATGCGTCTATATCGCGGGAGAAGGCTCTGTTGGCAGGTTGCAAAGAAGATGGAAAGTGGTTCCACAGGGCGGGACAAGGGAAAGGAGGAGCATACACACCCGAAAGCAGGATGAGTCAAATGTAGAGAGGACGTCACACCCACCTTTTCCAGGTCAAGATGGATCTAAATTGAGAACAAGAGGTCATATGAAAACACTGGAGTGAAAAACACTTATCCGAATTCCTCCCAGACTGCCAGCACCTTCCCGACAGGTCTCACGGTGTCGCATTTTCCTGCATGAAGACTGGAAGTTAAATCACATTCCTCTTGGGGCAGGAAGGCCGAACAGAATGAGTCCAGGCTTTTTTAGAGGCAAAAACAAACGACATGGAGGCTTTCCACACTTAGTTAAATCTCTTTGGAGCAGAAACCAGCCTGTTTTGGGGCCCTTGATCATCACCTTGTTCACCTCATCTTGGTATTAGGAAAGCTGTCAGGACCAAGGAGATGACCCATAAGGAACTATATCTTCAACTGTATGTTCCGTCAGAAGTTGGGAAGGGAAATGCGTCCAGTCAAGAACAGATAGACTCCGTGTTCTGGTTTTTGTTTTTTATTTTCCTCAAGTGTCAGACATTTCTGAACTGTTTTCTTCGGCAACCTAAACAGGATTCTTCTGACAGCCTTTCCCACAAAGAATAAACTGAAGCAAGTATGTATTCTACAGAGTAAAAAGTCTCACTTCTCAGTTCTGGGGGGGAAACGGGCATTTACTCAAGGGAAGGAGGAACACATAAGTTTCAGTCTCCATATACAGCACAAACTCGTTCTGTTTGAATTTTCAGAAGAGCAAGCTGAATTTTTCATAGTGCCCATAGTATTTCATGCCCTCTAACAGCAATTTGAGCTTAAATTATAGATCATATTCTGGGTTCAGAATCTCTGAAAATGATTTTTCTGAGCTTCTTCTCAGTTGTAGCATTCCATATACAAATTAGCAACTATGTGTACTAGCTAATTGTGTGTCAACGTGACACACGCTAGAGTTATCAGAGAGGAGGGAGCCTCAGTAGAGAAAATAAGATCAGGCTGCAGGAAAGCCTGTGTGGCATTTTCTTAATTAGTGGATGATGGTGGAGGTCTCAGATCATTGTAGATCCTGACACCTGTGGGCTGGTGGTACTGTAAGAAAGAAGGCTAAATAAGCCATGAAGAGCAAGTCAGTAAGCAGCATTCCTCCATGGCCTCCAGGTCCCTGCCCTGTCCTAGCTCCCTCTGCTGGTGAACAGTGATGTGAAAGCTTACACTGAATAAACCCTTCCTCCCCAGTTGCTTTGGCCACAGTTTTTCATCACAGAATATTGTCCCCAACGAAGGCACTATGATTTCCCACCAAATAGAAGAAAGCAACATCCTTAAAGTCCACCATTATCTTCAGCATGCAGTCCTTGAAGCGCAAAGTCTTTGATGTACCAAATTTCTATCATTTAGAAAAGACTATCTACTACTGAGGGAATAATTAAAATTTGAGATTTTATGTTTTTTTTCAAAATTCATTTTATATCCCAAGTAAAAACTACCCATTCAAGTGGGCAGGAAGAAAGATGAATTTGGGGAATCAAAATGCAACATGTGCATGTGTGTATGTGTACACACATACATATAAGCATTATATATTGTGGGGATTAAAGATTAACTTCAAATGTAGCACCTTGAAATTATTAAGTTCTCCTTTTCTTTACACTTTATATTGACTAAATTTTCAGAAGCAAAATACTAATAAGAGTTATTTTACATTGCTAATAAATCACAGATCACAGATATATAGTACCTTATCCATTTGCTAAAGGTGCGTGAATTAAAAAGCACTAAGAGTATTAATATTTATTCTGTACTGGCAGGGTAGTATATTGAACTTAACATGTGATTTGTTAGCAGTGTACAAAATGCCGTAAGTATTTTGCTTTGCAGTTCTATTTAATGTAAGATGTAGTAGTGTTCAGACAAAAGATTGTCTATAACTAGCTTAAAGTAGATCTCAGAATTACACACAGTCTCACATTCCTGCAGTTTCAGGGCTGGAAGGCTGAGGGAAGAGTTGCCATAAGTTTGAAGTCAGCTTGGACTACATAGCGAGTTCTAGACCTGCCCGGAATACATACAGAGTGATACCCTGTGTGTTAATTGCTTTTCTGTTGCTGCGATAAAATGCCATGACCAGGGCAACTTATAAGAAGAAAGAGTTTATTTGGGCTTGTGGTTCCAGAGGATAAGAGTCCATCACCGAGGGGAAGCATGGCAGCAGGTAACAGACATTGAAACTGGAGCAGGAAGCTGAGAGTTCACATTAACATCTCAGCAAGCAAGAAGTAGAAAGAGCAAAAGAGAAGTAGGGACCGGCTATGTATTCTCAAAGGCCTTCCACAGGACCCGCCTCCTCTAACAGAGCCACACCCCCTAAACCTCCCCGTGGTAGTTTGAGTAAGAATGTCCCCCAAAGACTCATATATTAGAATGCTTGGTCATCAAGGAGAAGCATTATTGAGGAGGATTGCAAAGATTGGGAGATGTGACCTTATTCTCTCTCTCTCTCTCTCTCTCTCTCTCTCTCTCTCTCTCTCTCCCTCTAACTCCTTCTCTTTTTCTCTGCCTGTGGATCAAGATGTAGCTCTCAGTTACTGTTCCTGTGCCATGTTTACTGTCATGCTCCCTGCCATGATGATAATAAACTGACCCTCTGAAACTAGAAGCAAACCCACAGTTAATGCCATATATACTTTTTATAAGAGTTGCTGTGGCCA